GGTCACACAGACACCACACGGCGGCGGGCTCCGCTCCCAACAGCGCAAGGAGATTTTTTTATTGGGGATTAGTACGGAACAAGCGCAGGAAGTAACCGCTGCTGTTCTTAGGGCACATCACGGCGACAGGGCAGGTTCATTTTGATATAAAAAACATACAAAAGGTCCCTTTCCACCCTCCCTCCCCCCCCACACACCTGTTCAGTAAAAACGCCTTTGGTTCAACAACATCAGATAAACCGAAATCACTGTAGCTCCTTACAGCCGCACATAACTAAGGCCGATTCCTCCTTCCTCATGCAAACGGTAGGCCCGCGAGCGGAAACTTTGCGTACGACCACACTGTAAAATGAGGACTCGGAATAACAGGTCCTGGACAGGGCTGGATGCTGGTACCGGAGGCCTCGCCGCCACTCCTGCCGGGCAAGGCGGCCTTCCTGCACCAGTGTTTCATTCGCTACAGGCAAAAAAAAAAGAGGGCTAATGCTCCAAATCCCCCCTTACACTCCGAAGCCACAGTGCTATTTAATATTTTTTTGGAAGGAGGGAGGAAAGACTTAAGTAATAATTCGGGGCAGAATTCAGAATAAAAAGTTTACCACTTTCGGTGCAATTTCAAATACGGCCAAAAGAAAGCACATTTTGTATTGCTATGTACAAGTTTATACTATGTACTCCTCCTGGAATAAATACTGGAAACGTACATTGCTTCTGTTGCATTGCTGAACTGCTTCCAAATTGCCTCAGATGGTAGCTTGCTTAATAAGTATGTGATTATATGAGCAGTAATGAGTATTTAATATGACGACAAGTCTGTTAGGTAACTTAAAATAATTCAAGAAAACAAACATCCTTTCAACAAGTAAATGCCTACACTGGTTTTAAAACAAGCAGTAACAACTTTTTTTTAGAATAAAATTAATTTACAACATTAGTTTATCAAGAAAAATGTACATTTTATACCTATATACTTTACAAGATGCTCCAGATCTGCTATGCACTTGCATGGGAGGTATATATTACACAATTATTTGGCTGCATTATAAGGCAATCAGTGAAAAACACTTTGTCCTACAAGAAACCAATTGTTGAGATCCAGTTACATGATTATTTGCAGACAATTCCAAACATTTCTGAAAGCAACCAAACTACACCATATCATCTTTATTAAAATGTAAAGAAATGTGCTTAAAAGAGAAAGGTGTAAACTTGTATCCTCCACCAGTGTAAAATTTGTTCTGAAATTCCACCCTGAAATGAGACAAAAACAGAACCTACATATTAATCCAAAACGACCAGTTGTCAAGGGACAGAGCTGTGCATCATAAAAGACTAAACAAGACCACTCCTAACCCTGTCACTTCACTTTCTGTGCGGTTATTTAACCTTCCTGTCAATCACAGGCACATCTGATGTTTCCCAAAAGACCCAGACAGACAGATATTCTGCTACAAAGACCCATTCCTCACTTCTATCTCCTTTATTAATTTGTTTTAAAGTTAGTTGCAGTTAATTGTTTTGCCAATTTACAGCATAATGAGGATAGTACTCTATAAGGTGTATAGCACCACATCATGTTTTTCTATGCTATATGTTTGCCTTTCCTTATACCGTAAATTTCATGAGGTTTCAAACTAAACAGTCACTGAGTCCGCTCACAAGCGGAACTCATGCTATTAAGATTACGAGGTGATTAAAATACACAAGGGAGGGCAGCCTCATTTTAAAAAAAGCTTGGTTCACTAATACAAATGCTCTATTGACCCAAATAAATAAAATGGACTGGAGTCTTTCAGTGATAAAACCAGACCAAAATTAAAAAGATTTACCTAAGTTACTAATATCCTGTATTATGAAAAGTCAAGATACTATAAATCATTTATAGTTTGCACTAAAATCAACTCTGAATGTGGTAGAATGACGTCAGCGTGCATCATAAGCCAATATAATACTTGACATTTCTGAAAATATGCCAGAGGAATAATCAAATTGCACTAACAGACCATTTACTTAATGCGACTAGATAAATCTGTTACAGTAGTATAAGGCTATTAAATTTTACACTTCTCTTTTTTAAAAAGCACCCAATATTTTGACACAAAAATTCCTCTAAACAAGCCAGTATACCTAAACAAGGCACTTCACCTAAAGTGAAAAAATTAAAAACTGAAGAGTTAAAACTTACCAGTGAAGTCGTACAGCATGGAGAAAAGCTGAAAGCCCCTCCATGACCAAAAGAATAAAAATAGTTAGCACAGCAAAAAACGCTAGAACAGGAACTAGCAGTAAGACACCGTATGTTGTATCGACGCGAAGACCCACTCTCATCACCATTTGCCACAGAACTTCTGATAACTCTATTTAAAAAAAAAGAAAAAGTTTCCGTAATTCATTTTGTTTCTGCATACATTCACCCAGGAAGCTACTATAACCAATCTGTATTCTAGTTTAAAGAGACTTATCGGATCTGCTGAACAAAGGAATTATAAGCAAATACCCCCAAAAGAAGAAAAAAAAAAAAACACCCTTTGAAGACCACCAATGTTTGTAATACTAGGTTGGATGGATCTCTGAAAGTAGTCTTGTCCAACCCCTGCTGTACTCAAAGCAGAGCCAACCTCAAAGTTACGTCGAGGCCTACAAAGTTGCTCAGGGCTTTGTCTGGTCAAATTTCTGAGCAACTCCAAGAATGGAAATTCCACATCATCTCCAGGCCTGTCCCAATGTCCCTGATCACCCTCACCAGGAAGAATTTTTTTTCCTTGGATCTAACTGGAATTTCCTTTCAGCCCAGTATGTAGCTGGCCTTCGTGGCCACAAGGGCGCACTGCTGACTCACATGCATCTTCTCACAACAGGATCTTTTTGCAAAACTGCTTTCTAGTCAGGCGGCGCCAACCTGTAGCGCTGCACTGTTGCATGGGGTTATTTAGATATCCAGCACTCAATTTGCTGAACCTATGCAAGCGCTTTTACACTTCTTTTTTTAAATAGGTAGCACAAAACTGCCAAACAGGTTTGTCATGTGTAAGCCTTTTATGGGGATTTGAAACTACATAGGTAGTTAACTTTTTTCAAGAAATTCTTTAGAGTATGTTTCACAACAGTTTAGACTATGACACTAAAACTTTAACAAGTGCCTAGATGTTTTCCAAATTGGTCAATGAAAGATATAAAAACCTTGAATGAACTGAATCCTTGTGAATGTTGACACAATATTATGGGAGACAACACTGTGCTTAGAGAATCGCCCTCCATACAACCAGGAGCAATCAATGATAAAAGTAACTACCTTCCATACATAAATCATACAACTTCACAACTTCAGTTTGTGGATTTTCCATAGATCATGATTAGTTTAAATAGGGAATTTCTTTCTAAATTAATAAAAGGATGATTCCATGGTAGTATGATTTTAACAGGCCATCTGGCATTAACAAACAGATAGATATAAAAACTTACGTGCATGAGCAAGACTTAGCGCCCAGAGTCTCAGATATGAGGCTGTATTGGAAATGCATCCTAGACAGTACTCAATAGTATGAATTGCTTGATTCATAAAAACATCTGCAAAATTAAACTAAAATATAAAAATACACTTGTATCCACTTAAACAGTACGAGAGAATAAAAACGTTCATCTGTAAACCTTAGTATACATACAAGAACAAAAATTGTTAAAGGTTAACACATTCATTTCATGACAAGTAAAAACAAACCTGCTATGCTTTATATCCTTATTACAGAGACAACACAAAAAAATCAGACGTTACAAGTTTTCCAAATAGTTTTCTCAGTTATTTTGTAGGCAGATTAAAAATAAATACCATTTATGTTTTCAACAGGAATACAATTTCATATTTGACAAATATGAGCAGTAAAAAAATCAGCTCTAAATCCCATTCTATTGATGTCCCAAGCTTACAATGACAGTTTTTGCATCTTTAAAAATCAGGATTATTAGTAATGCTAGTGAGAGAAAAATAACTATTATTAATACTACAAACCCTAAACATAATTACCTGTTGCTAACAAAGACTTCCAAAACCATTATTGTTATTGTAAGTTCCAACACTTTGAATGAAACTACGACACATTTCATTTGAGCAACACAATTCCTGTACTTGGTATACCTAACAAGCAAAATTCAACCACTCCAGTGAAGCAAGTACTAGACATATACTGCACATTAGGCAACTGAAGCCATTTTTTGTCTTCCAGTTCACATGAAATCAGAGGGATGTGTCATGTGTAAAGGTTTGGCCAAACTATACTGCAGCAATAGCTGGGATTCATGTCTCCCAATCCCCACTGGCAACGTGCCTTCTCACAAGATCTAACTTCCAGACACATGATTTTTCTCTAGATTAAAAAACAAGATTAAAGAACAGGAAGCGGGGCAGTCTTCCTGTCCTAATTTCAAGTATCAGTAAAACCACACACACAAAAAATAATTACCCTGCTTCTTCAGTTTAAGAAAAACTATAGCCTGATCCAAATAAAGCAATCTTCCTGTTCTCTACTACAGATACGTTGTGGTTTACGGTAACAACCTGAACTAAAACACCAACCATAAAAAAAAAGTTAAAACAGCATTAAATAAAAATACATAAATTGCATTCAGTCATCAAGGTCTTCATAAAGGCTCAGCTGACATTCTCAAGACACTTCCAGGGACTCAACATACAGATTATCTTCTTTATTTTCCACCTTTAATTTGCTTCTCAGGATACATTAATTAGAGACTAAGTAAAAAAAATATTACCTCCTCTCCATCCCCATCTCTGTGCCCACTGTCTGAATGACTGCTTCCCTCTTCCACATCATTAGACCTCAGCAGAGAAAGTTCTTCTTCACTTTCTTTTCGAATTAGCTTGTAGCCACTCTGCACAAAATGGAAATACATCGTGTCTGTCTGCTCAGTGGACTTTCCAGTGTCAACTTAATGCTACAAGGTATAAATAAATTTAAAGTGGTCACAGGAAATAACACTCTCAAGGACAAAAGGACCAGAGAGCTAGAGGAGCAAAGCACTGTTATGAGTTATAGTCAAAAACTTTCCAAGTTAAGCAGAAATATTTAGTTATGGGCATTGTTCTGTATGCAAGGCACCGCTGGATTCTTCTAGACTGTTTGAAACAGAACATTTGTTTCCCCAACGCACAATCAGTTATATAAGCCATGTGAAAGGATCAGCCCCTGAAACCAGAAATTCAATAGCATACGGCAGGAAAACCGAGGATGCAAAAAGTGCACTAAAGAACATATGCTTATTCTTGCTGCAGTTCTTTCTACCTGGAACCAAATGGGAAGGAAAAGTTGCAGCTGGACCATAAACCACGTTATGGTCATAAAGCCTCCTAAGGAATAAGAGGCTATGTTTTTTAGGAAAAAAGGTAAGACAGGAATAAACGTGAGCCAGGACAAGTGGTCACTGCCAAGATTGGGAAGTAATGATCCAAAGGATACTTTCTTTTCCGTATTAACATTTTTTTAAAAAGCAAAAGTAAGGAAAACATGCAGATATCAAACTGGTGAAAAGTTTCCGACTACAACTCCAGCTCAAGTTCCAGAACTTCATTTTCAAGAACAGAAGTTAACATTAATTCATCGACAAGTAATACTGCATCAAATAAATGACGTATTGAAGCACTGAACATGAGGATCCTATTTGCTAATTTTGCCCAAGAATATTTCCACGTTATTCCCAGGATTTACTAGCATTTTCAGTAGCAGTAGTCTACAAAGTGCCCAATATTGTAAATATTCACTTAACTAGTCAAATGTGCAAGGGTTTGCACGTGCTACCCTACAGTTTGTAATGAGGTTTCTCAAAGACTATTGCATGCAGTCAGAAAAACATTTGATAAACGTATTTATTTAAATAACTCCCTCATTCCCCTTCCCCCCCCCCCAAGGGAACACCACTGTCATCTAAAAAGGAGATGTATAAATGTCACTCAGTACTTACTCTGTACCTTCCAATGCCTCGGCCTTCACTGTGCAACCAATATAAATAAAGTGGTTTTCCAAAAAGCATTACAGGAACAGAAAGTAAAGCAACACTAAGTAAAAACTTCTGTAAAACAACCTGTTTGTGAGTGGGAAAGACAAAGAAAATCAGATCAGACCACCAGATCAACAGCAGAAAAAACCTTCCCATTCTCCTTTAAAGGCTTGTTTGAGCATAAGAAAAATACTACTGATTTCAATAAGAGTTAGGAATGAATTCATAGTTCAACTCAGAGTTCAACATGCACATAACTGTTACTTCATCGAGACCTTAAAGGGAGTTACTGCATCCAGCATTTTCAGGACTTGGTTAAAGTGCTAATGACAGTCAGTTTAATATGATTACTTATAGTACACAGGAGAGCATCAAAAAACTGCAAGAATATGACGCTGTTCCGTAGCCTTTATTTTAAGCTGAAATCGGTCAAATCAGTCCTAGCAAGAACTGGGAGATTTTGTTCTAGAAACAGATGTTCTCGTGAGCCACTACATGAAATTCTACAATCAGTCAAAGAGTAGAAGTATTATTTAATCATAATGTTTATTCAATTTCCCCTTAGTGTCATACATTCCCCTTCCTAGGGCGCTACACTCAGCCATCAGCTTTTCATTAACAGTAAAGTCTTATCTGCATAGGGAACACGGAGTCTTCCGAAGCTTGTTACAACACTACTAACCTGTCCGCTATAAAAGACCTCTGTTTCACTCCCAGGAAATAGGAACATGTTAATAAACTGAATCAGAATGCTAGGAGCAGATGTAGAGTCCTGTGCAGAGTAAGCCAACCACTTAAAGAAGATCATAAACACAAGGTAGCCAAAGATGCACATCATGAATAGAAGTTCAGGAAGAAAAACCAAGTAAATATTATACTTCTTCTTGAAATGTCTAAAAGATAAAAATGGAAAAAAACAAACGGAAAATAAGTTCCACAAAGTAGTATCTAGATAAACACAGGGCTCAAGTATTTAAGGTGTTTAAATGGTTTCAATAAAACAAAACAGCGCCTAGCACTTTTAAAGAGCAGGACTGAAATTAGAATCCAGAATGGATTCTTTCATATTCAGAGAAATTTTAATGAGATATTTCAGTGGAAATCAAGACCATTTAGCACCAAAGTGAAACAAAATCTTTTATTAATCAATGGCTTCAGATTATGTGGCTTAACACTGATCCATCTCCTTATTTACAGGAAGGAAGACCTCTCCATTACTGTTTAAGAGCAGTTTTTGTCATTACTATTATTCTGTTCTTAAAAAATTGTTCCAGTTCCTCATACCAGATTAACTATTATTCAGAAAGAGTTGACACAAATTACAGTGTTATTCTCTCAGTTTCTTGTACTTACAAGTGGTTGAAGACCCCCAATACAACTCCAAATGTCATGTGAGTCACTCCAAAAATCACAGACATTTTCATTTTGAAAGAATTTAGAAAACTGAGACGGTTGCTTGCCAAATTCCAGATCTGAAGAAGAAATAAAGACAAAATGGGCAATTCCGAAGAGCATAGTACAAGGCATAAAACAGTATCCTTTTTCTTAGTTAGAATTTAGTATCCTTTTTCTTAGGTTAGAATTCTCCTCGATTATCAAATGAAATTGAGATTTGAGAAACAAGCTTAATCTTTCTTTGACTCATTAAGGGACAAGCTCTTTTTGAAAGGAGAAAGAAGCAGCAGACATATTTGCCATAGTACGCTTGCCGTCTTAATACACAAGATCTAAATTACAGATAACTGACCATCATAAACGGATAGCTTAAAAGAATAAAACTCACTGGATCAATACCAAAGGGATAAGCTCCATTGTACACACCAGTAACATTTGGATCCAGTGTTAAAAATTGATTAGACTTCAGATCTTCAAGACTGCAGCAAAAGAAAAACACCATCAAATCTGAAATTGCTTAAACAAAGTGACAACATATATTTTCAGTTCTGCAGGATGCTACTCCCGCTTTCCTTTATAAGAAAGATTAAAGGGACTAGCTTATCTAAGGTCAGACTTTGAGAAAAGAATAAGACAATTTATTAGCACAAAAGAGGTAGCTACTAAAAATAATAACAAAAAAAAATTACAGACACTCACAATCTGGGCTTACTTTGCACTAGTGACTTGGAAAGGAAAGCGTCTAGATTTTGTTCACCATCTCCTTGAGCACAAGTTCCATTTAAAAAGCTCACAACTTGTTTTTATATAAACTTTAGCCACCCAAAGATTTTTTTTTCATTTGGATGAGTTTCCACTATAACTTCAAATAGGTTTTCATTGACACAGCACTCAATCTGTTCACATTTGAATCAAAGACAATATTTTTGATTCTACTATTTTAAACCACTTCCTGTTTTTGAGGTGAAATGAAACACAGCTGTAAGTATTTAAATACCAAAGGGCTATGAAACCTTGAAATGATGAGGTTACCTCATGTTGTGAAGAAATAGGTTTGACAATTCTCATAGCCTTTTTCTTTTATGCTAAAGAAAAGCTGTGCATAGATTAATGCTTGCTAGGTGATTAACTTATTTCATTTCATTCACTGCTAATAATTTTACAGCAGATGCTAATGCTGTTTGGCTGTAAGTTCCAGAAGCATTAGCTAGAACAAGTTTCTCCAAAACTAGCCTTGCGTTTCCAATTCCCTCAAAATCTTTGGCACACCTATTTTCAATAGTTACAGTAGTATAGTTGTAAAAAACACTTTAAAAGAAAAACGCAGGCTGACAGTAAATATCCTGAGCTAATCTCTAGCTGCAACTGAGTTATGTTGAGAAGACTAGTCCTCACTATATCTTCAAAAACCTCTCCTGGGAGATATAGCAATCAGAGACAAACTAAAACCATTAGCATAAAGACAAACATTAACAAAGGAGGCAGTGTACTCTTTATGAGCAAAAAAGATACTCCACAGGACACAGTCCTTTCTCTTTCTGTTAGGCTTTTATAATCTAAGTGGCTGAAAACTCCACGTAGTAACAACACGTTTGTGAGACCACAAAAAGATGTCAAACACACATGAGGAGGCTTAGAGACTGAATATATCCTAAAATTCCACCTCAAACTTAGGTACGTGTGACTTTTTCCTATCAATAAAAAGATACTGTGCCAGCTGCAGGCTTTCCAGCACCAAAAGTTATTAGCTAATATGTAACAGTAGAACGTTGCAAGAGCATGCATTCAGGGAGGAAACCAATTGTCTTCTATGTCTAACGATAGAATTCTATAAAATGTGCCAGTTGATTGAGGACATGACCCAAATGTAACTCAGAAAAGAAGCACTGATAAATAAGATATTAATCGGACCGACTGAATTAAATGCAATCAAATTCTAATAGTGGTTTTGCATGAAATTGTCTTCTCTGCAGAGCTCCCAATTTAGGATAATAAGCAATTTGATTTTTTTGTTTTTAAATAGACTGTTACTGCCTTCTTTATTTTAATTGCAGATGCATCTCTTAGCCCTTAGCCCACTAGCACCTGCTAGCTTAACAACAAGATTCAGTAGATTTAACTACGCTTACTTACTGCTCTCAATAAAAGGATAGTTAAAATAGGTAGGTGAAAGAGTTAAAACTGTTCCAGGAAATATATGTGTTTTAATGGTATAGCAAACAGAGGCTTACTACTCACCGCCAAACCTTTTGTTCAAACATTGCTGAAACATTCCATCCAGAACCAAATATATTTAACGACTTTGAAAAACAGTCATTGTAGATCAAGCCAGTGTATACAGAAAACAGACCCATCAATAAAATAACGTATCGGCCTTCGAAAAATGTTTTCATTATCTGTAAACGTTTAAAAAAGAAAGTATCATCTGCTGTGTCAACGATCATTATCTACACGTTTCTTTTAAAAAGTACATTTTTGGCCAAACAAAAACTTCTAAAACTTTAAAGTTTTTGTCATCAGTCATTAAGGAAGGCAAAGAAACCTAAGGCTAATCAAAATGGAACACAGAGCTTAGCTTTAAGCATGTGAATATGCCATTTGCAAATGGCAGTCACTAAACAGGTGCGATTCACCTCTCCACATTCATAGCTTCATGCCAAGCTTCTTAAATGCAAAGGTTGCACTGGAAAACAGAGCTAGGAATAAGAAGTATCTTCTGAAAGACAACTTTAGTTTAACTTGAACATAGAGATTTGAAGTCCCCACGCAAGTTCCCAGAATGCAAGTTGAGACTAGTACTACTGGTAGTCTTACAAAGACTACTAAGACTAACACTAAAGTAGTCTTTGCAAGCTGCATTTCCTCCCCACGACTGGTTTTCAAGAAGGCAGTCATTTGCAGCCATGCTTAATTAAATATAATTCCAATGAGAGATGCAGGTCTTCCTGCATTCAAGCCCATACCATAATAAAATAGTTAAATCAATTTCAAACTACAACACCTTCTCAGAAACAATTAAAAAAAACAATATGTGTATACAGAAAACAGTTTAAAAAATGGTTTGAAAAATCATTTTGTCCTCAAGTCAGTCACTGCAACCACATTCTGCAAAACACACAAATCAAGAAGTAGGCCTAGCAGAAGGAAAGACAAGCCCACCAATATTAATGAATTTCTGCCAGTCTTTCATTCCAGCTTGATTATTTTAGCCCTTTCAAACGTGAATCATTTGGTAAAGACACCACATTCATCTTGAAGTAGAGTATGTCAACTTAAAACACAGGAAATCCTGTGTCCAATACTTGCATAAAGAACACCAGCTTTCAGAAACATAGTGACTATTCAGTGGAAGTTATCTTGCTGGACGGGAGTAAAGCTATTTGTAATTCCTTTTACCTCATCTTGTGATCTCTGTAATCTAGGGTGATTTTCATACATTATTGTCAGGAGCGCAAAGATGAACATTAGTAGACCGTGCCCAAAGTCTCCAAACATAACAGCAAACAGGAAGGGAAAAGTGATGATGGTATAAAGAGCTGCAACAGCAAGATAACAGATTTCAGAGATATAGCACAGCAGATGATGTTGCTATCTGAATTTTGCCTAAGCAGTTCAACTGTCTTAAGCTCTCAATCACTCCAGACCAAATTTGTTCAGTTTTACAGTTTGCAAGACCTTTCACACTCTGCTAACAAGTGCGCTATAAATTTTACTCGCTTTAAATCTTGCTTATGTACATCCACTAGTAACGACAATGCGACAGCTGAGCATTAGTTGACAATTCTGAAGACAGAAAGAAGGGCCCAGAAAAAAAATTCAGTTATTTCCCTATGACGATTTTGACTCTGTGCTGTAACTTACACTCTCCGATATAGGATGACATGATACTGTCATAGTCAAGGTAGCTACAGAAACAAATAAGGGCATTAAACTAACAGGACTATACAACAAGCTGGATTTTTTTCAAGTGACAAGCTCCACATTTAAGTAAGATCAATAACTATCACTAAAAGTTTTTTTTTATTTTTATTTTCCTAAATACCTTTTCAAGAAAAAGCATATAAAGGAACCATCTACAGCTATTATCAATATTTTTAAATGCTGAAATAGCTCAAAAAAAATCAAATCCCATCTTTCTGCTCAGAGTACCGTTTATACTGTTGACGAGATACTGGAATTTAAAAACAGCTACTCATAAGCAGTATGGTTGTCAACGTTTTCCCTTGGTTAGAGTCAAATTCAGCAAGGTATTTAAATAGACAACCTTCTGTCAAGGCAAGCAGCAATGGCAGTTCAGCTCACAATAGTTCAGCTGTCAGGACTAACCTGGATTAACTTCCCCATAGTTTGCAACTCCATATGCATCAACAATATTTTGGAACCCTGAGGTGAATTTGTTGGTACGTATCAAAGTTGGAGGAGTTTGTGTTGTTGGAATGGTGTTCATGAATGAAGAAACTGCAGCTCCACTTTTCCTCTAATTACAGACAGAAAAGGAATAAACATTTATATGAAAATCCAGTTGATGTGTAACCTGATCAAAGTGAAAATATTTTATCATCAACAGTTCCACTGACCCTGAAACATCCCAAAAGTAAACCTGAAGTTTAACATTTATCACTTTGTCCCTTCTTCAGAAAACAAAAAAAATTACGTTAATCTGTTCCTCTGAAAAGACTGCGTACAATACTCTAGTCCTTATATTATATGAAATACTAGATGAGAACCACCAGTCAATATTCTAAAACGAAGATCTGCTACTAAAAATACCCTGTTAAAAAACAAAAAGACTGAGTGGTATTCAATGCAACTAACACAAGGAAATCAGCACCTACTACTTGATTGCAAACAGCGTTGTTGAGTTCCATCAGACTTGGGCCCCACACAGCAGTTCCTGTTCAAGGAAACTCCCCAACAACACTAAAGGTTCTGTTTATAAAGACATTGTTTCCTACGAGTCCACGGAGAATCTGCCTGTGCTTGTTTTTACCCTGTTTTAAATAATTATTTTTTTCCCTCATCTGTATTGCTTGTTCAAGAACAAAAATGTTTTTTTAACATCAGTGCGTGTCCATCTGACTTACTGATCCTTCCTCCAGTGCATGGCGCAAGTTTTGCAGATCAGCCACTGGACACCAAACCTCAGCAATTAAACATTTATTTGTGACATCAAAACTGCACAGGTTGAGTACATGATAAATGGCTTTCATCTTCTTCACTTGGATAACCCACGTATAGATGGATTCAGATGCTTTACATAAGACTTGGCGTAAGTAATCCTCAGTTTTATGCAGCACCTTTGTGCAAAACAACAAAAAAAAAAATTAATTGAAAATGTAGCACAGTTCCTGTTAACCACAGGAAAAGCACGTAATATTTGTCCAGTGGTGGGACACATTTGTAGGAGGTCACACTAACCACCGCCTAAAAGAGAAGGCAACACAAGTGTCCTCAAGTTTAATAAACAGAAGCAACGTGAGACCAGAGATACGTACACAGTCAAGTTCAGATCCAAAGCTGCGTGTATTTTAGAAGCATATTAATGTGTTTAATACTGTGATATTTTAAGTAGTAGTAGATAGTGCAATAACAGCGGCAAAGCGGAGGCTACTATAATTTACTCACAGTGTGAAGATCCTGAATACGAACGTTTAGTCCTTCAACAACTGCCGTGCGCTCCTCTGTGGTATTTGGATAGGGATAGACATGACAGTGATAGCTATAGAAATACAGAAGTTTGTATTAAACAATCAAATTACTAAAACAAAGAAAGCAGCTAACCATCCATGCCCTAGTCAAATTTGCAACACATCATCTAACAACCATGGAACAGATTCAGTTGAGAAAGTCACTGTTCTGCCTGTACTTAATAAGGACTGCAGATAAAATGACTCATGCATTTATATTTGTACATTAGGCTAGATGCAACCAAGAGGGAAAAAAAACAAGAAACAAATTTAACTTTAAAAACTTCTCTTGAAATCAACATTTCCAGGAAAGGGGAGTAGGGGGAAATAATCAAACAAGAAGAGAACCCAGGTACAAAGAAATTTAATATATCAGTCTTACCAGTCACATATCTTCTTAACTTTCTGGCCAATTTGTTCACCCCAATAGGACACTAAAAACACAAACCATTTAGTGGTTTCACCCTGAAAAAAGAAAAAGGTCAGTTGATGAGGTTTGCTTTCAACTGACTTATACACTACACTAAAATCATATGGTAAAATAACAAATTTGAGTAATTAGAGAAAACACCATAATAGCATTAACTTTCCACCACTTTAAAGATCAAAAAATAAAATGTGCCAATACCTCTTTTTTTGCACATTGGAGAAAAACAGAAAAAGTTTTCAGGGAAAACAAAAGATTGTATTTTATCATCTCAGAAATATTAGCAACAAAAAAAGGTCTTGAAAAATTAAATGATGTTACAAATGAGAGTCAAAGCAAAATTAAAATTAATGCAAAGGACAGATGGATTAAGCAGCCATAACTGCTGGTTTATGAAGTCAATTTCATGAGTTCAGAGACAAATCTTCATGGAAGACCCACTCCATTCAATTTTTCCTTAACTACTGAATGAACAAACAAAATGACTATTAAAAGGTACAGCACTGTACAGACCTAGTTAATAAATATCCAAACAGTCATTCATGCCATGTATTTTGATCAAGGCTGCTGGTCATAAAGTCGTTACCGCTCCACAATAAAGTTCTGGACCCATCAAGCTGAACCACAAAAATGTAATTGCCACTCCTATAGTTATGAAGGGAAGGAACTACTAATTTTAAAGTCCTTGAAGTTTTCATACTTAAAATCGACTTCCCTCCAGGGGTTTCTTGCAGACCTGACCAGGGATTTTTCCAAGTCGTATGAAGAGTACTAATATTCATACTCACTGATAAACTGATAGTTACAACGTTTACTCACTGTATCTGGATCTTCCAGACATTGATCCAACTCTGCACATGTAAAAATAGTATATCCTTTACAGACTCTCCACAGCATTTTTTCAAATGCATCAATTTTTGCTCGGTGAACTAGCCCAGATATGAACCTACAGAAAAAGAAAAATTTGAAAAATAAGCCAAAATCCACAGGAAAAGTTAAAGCCGGAGAGTACATCATCACTAAGGATCACGTAGTCACAGTAATTTAACAACTGCATCTCTAGAGAAAGAGGCATCGCTCCAAGCTGGAACTTATCAATATATAAAATACAGACGACAGTTTCTATTTGGAAAACAGCTTGACTGTACGCCTGAGCACACAACTAGAATTACACCTGACATCAATTCTTTTTGTGGTATTAAGGTTATCAGCACATTCTTTTAGGTAAGGTACTCTCCCATTATGGCATTCTGGAGAGCAGTATGCATAGATCATTTTAAGGGCACAAAGGCAATACCATTAATAATGTTACATTTACAATTCACATATCGCTGCCAGCTGATTGGAACGCTATATGTTTATCCTAGAAAGCAGAGACTGAACAGTAGTACAACATACCTGTTTAGAGCAAGGACATGTTTTCTTTAACACGTGTGCTTTGTTTCATGAAAGTTTAGTTACAGTTCTTTTGGTGCAGTCCTCCTCGTTCCTTATCGTTTACAAAAATCCAGTTTTGTCACAAAGATACGTTTGGGCCAGACTCTAATTTAAAATGCTTTGGCTCATCTGAAATCACTGGAGCCACACTATATCCCGTCTCTTGAGGAGAGAGCCCATTGTTTACAGCAACTCACAAGCAGTTTTGAAACAGCACACCATGTTAACCTGCCATGCCTAGACTGAACCATACCTACCCCAGCTTGGCACCCAGTCTGTGCATACAGTTGTAATCCACTAAAGGCTCATTTTCCACAGATGGGAATTCTTCATAATTTGCATGTAAATGGGATTCATACTAGCAAATAAAAGAAATATCATCTTAATTAGCTTTTCCTCCTTAGGATAACAAATTAACTAAAATATTAAGGTTTTTTTTCTAAAAACAAACTAGATGATTTCAATAAAAATGCAGCATCATTTCCTGAGTGTAATTACAGAAAAGTGACTTCTTGAGATCTCAAGTGTACCACTCTCAGCAATTATAGATCCCTGTTGCAAAAGTTATATGATAAATTTCTCAACACAATTTGTGCATCAAAATAACACAAATTATTCCTTCATTAAACGATTCAACAGAGAAATCACAAAATTCCTTAGTTCAGGGCTGTATTTTGATATATATGTATGTACATATATATGTATGTATATGTATGCATGTACATAGAGCCTCGCACAAGAAATTGTCAGATTGTCAGCTAGGATCTCTAGGCGCTGAGTACAAATAATAATGAATAAGGCACAGCGCTGTAAAACTTCACACCAAATCATGCACTTAACTAGAACGTTAACAGTATACAACAGGAACGTGAAATAAGAACACAGTCCTAGTCACAGAGCGTAAGCAATACCTCAGCTGTTCTCCTGACAAAGGTTTGCGTGACCTCCAGCATACATGTGTATTCCATCAGTTCAAGCAGGTTTTTCCTCAACTTTTCTTTGTTTTTAGTTACTTCCCTCAATTCTGTCTCCAGTTTCTGCAATTGTTCCTAAGATATGGAGAAGAAAAATGACACAGAATCAGTTACACTGTTCTGGAAATTGGGGGAGGATTAATTATAAGCACATGTTAATTTCCCTCAGCAACAGAAAAATTTCTCGCTTTCTTAATTAACTTAAGTACCACAGATTTGATCCCTCAGTCTGCTAAAGACTGCTTTGTATTTAGTAAACTTGATCCTCCACTGACACCCATTAAATCTGCTGTTCTGATCCTAATATGCACCTGAGCTAGGTAAAATAAACTTGGAAGTAGAACTTGGGATAGTACAGGGCACGAAACACAATCGAGAGAATTACAGCAAAGCAGAGTGTCTTTCAAAATTATATTTGCATTTTACAACCTTCTACTTCTAAAGCAGCATCAGAAAAGCATTCAGAGAAATCTTAACAAAATAGCACCATATTTTGCTACGCAACCAGCATCAGAACCTGCAGAGCCTTGAGCATGTAAAACTCCCATAACCCAGGACAATTCTGGATGCAGAAAAACAGTCTTGGGCTAATCCCAAAGCAACCAACAAGGCTGAAGAGGCCTATACCTATAGAAAACAACCTGCCTGGAACAGTCTAACATGTCAATCTGTCAAAACAAAACAGATGCCCACAAAACATGCGAGTTAGCTTTGTCCTTTCACAGGGATTTTGCGTCAATACCAAATCCTCACTGCAGTCTTTGAAATAACACCGGCAGAAAGAAAAAAACCTAGACAAAAGGAAAGCAAGGGCTTTTTCTCTCCCCCCACAAGCCCCCATATATGTTAAGTCATAAATGATAATAAGTGATTAAGTTGTAAATAAATTTCCAAAATCCAGTGCTACATTTTTGGCATCTGGGGTGTCAAAAAAAATTACCTGGATTTCTAAAATATGTTTCAGTAAGGGGGCAGGAGGAGCAACATCTCCTTCAGGAAGAGGAATATCTGCCTTCTTAATTTCTTGTACTAGATATCCTGGAGTAAGAAGAAAAATAGATTTAGAAAGGAAACTGCATTGCATTATACTTCCCAGAATGCCGCATATTTGATCTTCAGCTGTTATTAAGGGTACTGAGCACACTGCAGCATCAGGCCCAGCTATTTATTTATTTATTTAGACAAAGATGCATACTGAGTCTTCAAAAAGAATACAAGAGAAAGCAGAAGAATAGCGCTCCAGAGGAAAAAAAGAGGGGCTTATAGCGTGCTAGGGATACACGCTAGGGATAGTGTGTTTTTCTCTTGGAAGTTTGCAGAAGTAAGACATCTTCAGAGTCCTCTGACTGAAATTTTCCAACCACTGTTACTTTAAGAAGCTTTCAACGTTTCATAGTATCTCTCTGTTGCAGCAAGATGCCACTTTCTGCTAATCATGCCGTCTGGCAAAAACTGACATTCTGCTCATTGATCCATGCTTAAAATAAGAAATGTTCAAACAAGGAGGCTTAAGTAACCCTGACAAAAAAATGCAACTCATGCTGGGCAATGAGATTGCTGAGATAGTTCCTGGGATGGTTTGGCATGACCGGCACATGCCTCTGACAAGAGGCTCCAATAAAGAGACTTCTTCAACAGTAACTTTTCCTAGGGTCATACAGAGTAACCTGCATCTTGGTTTTAATGCTCTGTATGCCGTTCATCTATTCTCAACTACTGCGTGAATACAATTACGAATAACATTTTGAGTTCAACATTAACAGTGTTGAGTTACGTAACGTAAAAAACAGAGCTCATCCTATAGCCAAAGGAACGCCCAGAGTAAAAGTTCCATTCTCCTAGCAGAGTTTTAAGCAGTGAATATTGAAATAGCCCCAGCTGTTTTCCAGCAACACATTGACAACTCCTCTTCAACTCTGAGCTTTAAAAAACTATATTTAACGCCTACACGTTGTACTGCAAAATATATTTTACAGCTTACAAAAATAAGAAACTGATTAAGTGATACACTCAAAAAAAACACACAACATATGAGTGCAGATTAAGGAATATATTTTTATGTTCTGACTCAATTCAGTGTTACAGTCAAGCAAATGACTTCTGACTCTCAAGGTCTAAACACGGAGTTTACTTGTATATTTATATGTGTGTATGTTTTCATAGGTAGGAAATTTTTGTAAGATTCTACAACCCTCAGACCCTACAGCACCGGGAAAAATTAAACAGAAAAAAAAGTATCTGAAACCTAGTTGCACTCAATGATGCAAAGTTTAAGAGAACTACAGATGAGAAACGGATGAGATATGAAAATAAAGCTCACCGAGTATTCTTTCCATCTCTTCACACTTCTTTACTTCATTCACAAATTTTCTTTGAAACACGCTGACGTTTGGGTTGAGCTGGAGAAGGACAACATCTTTATCAGGTATTCAAAACAACAGTCAACCCTACAGAACACAGCTGCTTCAGGGACTTCATGGTGCTAATTTTGTACCTATCCCACACAGCAACATTTGACTTAAATCCGTCTATCTCAACATGGAAGAGTTTGAAAGCTTAGAGCCTATTTCAGAAAGATGCCTCTCTTCGCACAAAGACAACATGGAAGAGTTTGAAAGCTTAGAGTCTTTGCCTGTTTCAAAAAGATGCCTCTCTTCGCACAAAGCGCTCTTCGGCTAGGAAGCTATAAAACAAACTAAAAATAAAAGATGAAAACGTCTTCAAAGAGCAAGGCTTTCCTAAAGCAGGATAATCAATGCCTTTTGCCGTTTTTACTCAGATACAAAAAAATAACCAGGTCTACTGGAGAAACCACTCCTGATCTTATTTCTGTAGCTCTGGAATAGCGCTTAACACTTCAAATTAACACACACGAGTACATTTTTGCTATCGATCTCCAGGGAACCTACTCAAGGAGTTACCTGTAAAAGGATCTTTTTTACCCCCTTTCCCCATGTCACGAGCGCGCAAGACCTCTGGCTACCTACTTAGCCGGAAGATTAGAATTATTAATGCTTTTTTTTTTTTTCGCCTTTTTTTTTTTTTTCGGCAGCAAAACGGCACGACAGGTAC